AAAACCTAAAGCGTATGTTAAGATGGACGRGTCATGTGGACATGTTTGATTTTGATGGYAACACTGCCCTTCATGTYGCKTCAATAAATGGTAGGGCTGATGTTGTTGGAATGCTGTTRAAAGAAGGAGCAGGTAAARAAATTCTCATCAACATCATTATTCATTGTCCACACCATCATCATCATTGTCATCATCATTGCATTTTGCATCACCATTTTGTACTGACATAGTTTGTGTTCTAGATGCTTGTTTGATGAATCGATTCAATGAGACTCCATTAGAGGTCAGTATTAATTGTTCTAAATATGTAATGATTTTTCTAAATGTTTTCATTTTCTCCAATTACGTATATCTCAGCTTGCATCCAGCTATCAACATGCCTTGGTGGAAAAAGAACTTAGAAAACATCTAAAAGTAACTTCAGTAAGTCATGATCTCTTTTGCAGTAGTAATAGTGAACAGAGTCTTTGCCTCTATGCTTCCATGTAACTTCAAGAAATTATTATAAAATCAAAGAATCTTTCATCTTCATTGTTTTGATTCAAGCATTTACAAGACAAAGAAGAAAACGACRATTCTTTAACATCCTGCTATCAGAGACAAASCAAGATACCCAAACGAAACTACAAGACAAAACCATCAACGTACCATTATCAACCAAGAGACTCATGGTCTTCAACAGACATATCACTTGAACCAAGACAAAAACAAAACACAGATCAACARCAAAAGACAAAAACCCTTGATAATCATSAGAAAACCCCCATTGCTCCTTCRTTCCTACATGTSATGCCAGTATCACAACTATCACCACAAACGAGAGAACTKACTGGTGGCAAACCAGATTATGTTTAGAGCACTATTTATTTAAAAAATAATTTAGATAGAAATTTTTAAGGAAATATTTTTAAAAAATGCATAAAAGACTATTTGCAAAGTAAAGACTTTCATTTTTATGTTCTAATCAGTTATTTTATCTTACTTGAGCTAAATAAATATGATAAATGGCAAAAAGATCACTATTCCTCCAAGTCATCTTCTGTCTCTTCAGTGTCTTTATTAGTCCTCAAGCTTTTTCCTTGGTTTCTAACAATCTGCAATATAACAATGAACACAGGGAATGTCAGTAATCATTCATAAGTAAAGAACAATCTCAGCGCTTAGAACTCAGAAACAAATGTGATTATGGTTGTCCCTCTGGGGCTTTGTTGCTTTATACACCCTTATTTTGTGGCTCCCTTGTGGTAATATTTTGGAGTATGCAGCCCTTCCTTGGAAGAACTGCAATCCTTCCTGAAAGAGAAGAAGATCCTTGATCTTGATAGATCTCTCTTTCCTTTATAGACTCGATGGAAATGATAAAGATTATAGCACACAGGAAAACTGAACCGTGGGAGGCTTTGACCCCTTGCCAATCCCTAACCCCTCTCATGTAATTTTTTTACTAAACATTGTAGCTGTACACATCCCTTTGAACAGAAATCCATTCCCTTCACTTACGTTGATGTATTACCTTCTCATAAATATCTCTTTTCATTGTCCATGTTGATTTTGTGAAATACTTAAGATTTTGCTCTGTGAAGTCTTGGTCTTTTGTCTTCACTTTGCCTGATTGGAGTCAATTGTTATGAAGATTATTAGTATAATGAATGTAAAATAATTATTAATAATTTAATATATTATTCATGGGAAATTCTAAAGTAAAACAGTAATATAAAACATTAACTTACCGTTTTTATTGTTTGAATTGTAGGGAGAAGTTCGCGTTCTTTGGCCTCTTTTAGGTTTCTTGGCTTTGCCTTTCTGCTTCTTGTGTTCATCTGTGGAGGCTACGAAGTCTAGTCCTTTCTTTACAAGCTTTGAAGACATGTTTCTAGTACGGGTACGTGTAGGATTATAAGAAAACACGTTTAAAATGAGCTTCAACCGTCCGAAGTATGAAGATTTTCATAACATTTTCGAGCTAGAAAACACGTGGAAACTACTTYTTAAAACGAAAACATTGGTGCTTAGTAGCCACTCGTTGAAAGTGGTGCTTAGTGACCACTCCTTGATAGTATACTTCGATATGATTGGATAATCACGATATTCCCAGGATTCATAGAGATCTTGAATCAAAATGGCGGGCAATGAGAGCTGTACTTAGGTGTACTTTAGGTCAAAGTGGCTACAAATTATCAAGTAATATCTCTAGCTGAACCTCTTTAGTCAAAGATGAATATGCTAAAAACTCCAGAYGATAGCACTGCCGTYGTGAGAATGATGGGAGAGTTCAATCGGTTCCTCTCGGACCCTGAAGTGAGTGGACTCGGAGATCCAAAATTACGTCTAACGTATGATGATCTTACTGAACCTATAGCTGCAGTTGGAAAAAYCACTGGGAAATMTATYACTGATCATAAGCCCACTAGGAGCATCACTAGATCTCAGAGTAGTGGCGCTGTACTAGGGAAAGATCGWGAGAAAGATTTAGAGCTCATCAGAAATCGTAGCAAAATCGCACATTTGGAAAGTGAGTTGAATTCAATGGAATCTTCACGTAAAAGAGCTAGAATTGAGCACGAGAAAGATTGCCAAGTGCATAAAAATGAACTTCTTAAACGTTCTGAAGACATGGAAGATTTAGAACAAACAGCAAGATATGCTTTAGATCAGGAGAAGTTTGTCAAAGAACAGTTGAACGATTTAAAGAAAGAATATGAAACATATAAAACAAAGGTCGAAAAAAAGACCAATAATCTACAAAGAGAGAAGTTAAAGCTCAGTTCAGAGATAGAAGAGGTTGGTCAAACAAAAAGATTGAAAAAACAGTATTAAAATTTTGTCAATTTCTTGATTGACAGCATGCACAACTAAGTGATCCACTCATGGTTGGTGTACAGCGATGAGACATAGGATTTGCCATTTAGTTGGAATAAAAAGAGAGGTAGAGCTGATATGACCTCAGTAAAACATGCATCAAAAGGCGTCAAAGTGTTGTATCTTGGTGCTGAAGCGCATGTTTTCCTAAGGTCATATAGGCTCCACATTTCTGTACATAGGTATACCATATATGGGTATGTCTATGAAGTTTGAGCTACTTGCATAGGGCAATAAAATGATATTGGTGGTGTAAGAGTTTTCTGATGTAATCAGATTTCATAAAATCTTATGTTATTCTTTGTACAACCACCTTTTACAGTAATTTACTCAGGCAAAAGATAATCCTTTATTCTACAAGGGTATGATGAAGTGGAAGACAAAATGCAATAAGATTATTTTGGCTATCAATTTTCAGATAAAAGAAGAAAACAGTAGAAAACAACTTGACTTGAGGAATTCAATCACTAGGTATAAAAGTCCTCATTTATTATTATCATTGTAATAATTACTTGTGCCTTTATTCTTCACTTTTATTTCTTCTATTGACAGATTAGAAGCAGACAAGATCATCACACAAAACAAGCTTGAAGAATCTGAAGCACAGTTGGAGATATTTAAATGGTAATCACTTCTACCATATATTTCACAGTGTGTTTTATTGTCACCATTATTTATGCTGTATTTCTACTTTGATGATCTGTTGATAGGAGATATGCCACAGCATCAAAGAATCTGGCTGAGTTAGAAGAGCTTAGAATGGCAGCTAGCACAGCAGATCAAAAAGTGAAGGTATATTGCCCTGAAGGACAAGTGAACATTATTCATTGTATCTCTTGAATGATTTATTTAAAAAAAAGAATCATCAATTTTGATATTTGTTTACTGGTTAGGATTTACAGTTGAAGATATCAGAACAAGAGGATGCAGCCACCATAGCCATGACCATGAAGAATCAACTAAGTCGATACAGAGAACTGGAAAAACAAAATTTTAAACTTGAAGAAGACAACCGTTATTACAGAGAAACCAATGAGAATAATTTATTGTTGAAAGAACAGATGGAAAGCATGAAAGCAAAACTACAAMGAGCTGACCAAAGAGTCAAAGATTTAACCATCATGGAAATTGAAAATGAGGTGAAGTTCAATACTTTTGATCAAACAATATTGACAACTAATTACAAATAATTATTGAATGAATAATTTATGTAATTAAGAGCTAAAATATGCTATCTGTTCAAATAAAAACCACCAATTTGCTGTGGCGCCAGACAGCAAATTTATTTTCGTAGCATCCAGTTTGGTCTGCAACTATCACAACATAATGGCCTCAATTCAACTACTCTATTGTTTAAATAGGAACTGAAAAAAAGAATCAAGAAATGGGAATTAGAGGAATCATCCAGTGGTAAGAAGGCAGCATCACCAGCACAGCTGACACAGGAAATATCCAAACTACAAAAAAGTCAAGTGGTTTTRTTAGAAAAGCAGAGTGATCTGTTAGCAAGGTTAGAATCACGTGTTTTGTTCAATCATCTCATGATGATTGTGATGATTGAATGATTATAATAAGTCTGCTTTTATAATAATTATTTGTTGTCATTTTATACTATTCCAGTTCATAAAACTGTAAATAAAGCACTCATATAATAATGATTATTTTAAATTGATAGAATTAGTATTGATGTGGAAGTAATGACCATTAATTTTCATGATTCATTGATACTAGTGCCCAGATACATGAATCTGCACATGAGAAAGCCAAAGCTGAGATGAATTCATTGCTGAAACAATTGGAGGAGCTCAAGGTTTGTCAGGAGTATACACAACATAAACACATGTATATATATAGTAAGTACATATGGATATTTAAATCGATGCTAACAAGAATACCAACTCATTTATTTTCCAGGAAAGTGAGTCCAAATACCAGGAAGAATGTCAAAAACTCCAGCGAAGACTGTTCATGATAACAGCTGTAAGTGTATTTAACTGCCATTACTGTAGTCAGCGTTAATAACTATAGTTATGTAGCCATTGTTTTATGAATTGTTTTGTGTAAATTGATCATATTCCAGGAAAGAGATGGGATTCGCCGAATTCTTAATGTGTATGACAATAATCTATCCTCTAATTATGAACCACAACTAAGAGACAGACTCCAAGAGGTAAACAAAATGATTAAGTTATTACATGTTAAATATAAAATGTATAACAAAAATTCCTCTTTTTTCTCGTAGACTGAACAAAGGCTTGTGACATGTCAGGAACACATTGACACAGTGGAGGTAAAAAAAAACTATCTATCCATCTATCCATACATGTTAAGTCCTGTAGGATTTTATAGGAAATATTTGAATTCTTGTTTAATTGCAATTTTGTTTTTATGTTATTTTAAGACTGAGATAAGTCAAGCAAGACAGGAAACTGCTTCWSAAAAGACWAAAGTCAAACAGGTTTTTATTTATTCATCCACACTGCTTATTGATGGATGTTATAATATGCTTTCAATACCTGGTCATTGAGCTTTCTCGTAACTAGCCATGAAACTAGCGTGAGAAACAGCTTCTTTAAAATGATAAATCAAAAAGGACAGACACYTTRTCATAATGAAATAGMCTYATTTTTGGCTGTGAATGATACATCWAAARTAAATMATTTATCACTAAATGCATTTCATAATATTAATTATTGCTCACTCAATGGATTGATTTTTCTCTTAGCTTGAAAGAGAACTGTCAGAATTAAGAGCCAGGAAACCAATTCAAACTGCGTCCATTGGTGCAAGTAGTGAGTCTGAATTACAAAAACTAAAAGAAGAAAACAAAAAGCTTTCTGAAAAACTTGAAATGTTTGAACTGCGTAAAGACCAGATGCACATGCAGGTAATGTACCTTACTCAAGCATTCTTGAWATTTCACTATTTRATGCACTTTTGATGTTGTTATCCATCATAAAGTAAGACTTTCAGGCTGACATTTCATGTATTTCCAGGGMTACTATGATCCTTACAAAACCAAAGTTCTTCATTTCTCAATGAACCCAGCAAGTATTGCCAGACAGCAAAAAGCTGAAGAGCTTGAGAAATTGCGAAAGGAAAATGAAGCCCTACGTCTTAGATTGCAGGGTGCTGAGGGAAAGTCTCCTTCTGGAGCAACAAATTCAGATAATAAACAAGTAACACCAGAACTGACACACAGCAGTTCAAAAGAAATTGAAGGTACCTTCAATGGTATAGAGTAGGTTATTAGATATAACTTTAATTTTTTTCTTTTGAAATAATGTTTCAGAGGTTAAAGCTCAACTGTCATCCTCTGAATTAAGAAATCAACGTTTAAAAGAGGTAAGTATGAAATGATTATCAGTTTTAAGATTAAGGATAAAAATTCTAGAAGTGGATACGTATGTTTGGTATTTTGTAGGTGTTTTCCAAGAAGATTCAAGAGTTTCGTGAAGCTTGTTATGCATTAACAGGTTACAAGATTGATGTTTTACGTGACAAGCAATACAGGTTACAATCAATGTATGCTGAAAGATCTTCTGATGATTTGCTATTTGAGGTAAAAACGGTTTGTCTTATTTAAACTAATCAATTATTGATCAATATTGATCAATATTATTACAGAACAGACAATCCTGACAAGGCTGGCTCGCCTTGATTATCGCCTTGATTAGTTCTACTATTAGCAGATTAGCCACTCCTTCTAAATTATAAAAAAGATATATTACCATAAAAGTCTACATATATTTATAATTTTTATTTTCAGAGTAGCAACAAAGGAGAAATGATGCTTTTAGAAACAGATTTTTCATCGCAAGTCAGAGAACACATTGAGACATATCTGAGAAGAATGAACTCAATCCCTGCTTTCCTTAGCAACGTAACCCTTGATCTATTTAGCAAACAAACCACTACAATTGTTATCAACTAGCACGTGATAGGCACGTGATCATCAACCATTCACGCATTGTTGTCAGCTATTATCAAATGTTATAATATTACACTTGATTGACAGAAATAGGTTGGCAATATCAATCGTATATGATAAATTAAAGTAAGATAATTTTTTTAATTAAACTAACAATAAGCATTGCAGGAAATGTAAATAAAATTTTTCTCTTAAAACAATTCAATGGCGAATTGTGGCGTTATTCTACGGTTGCCGAGTGGCTTTTATGATAAGGAGATTGATCTAAAAGGTTTCACAAAACCTTGCATAGACTGGTTTGATAACTTAAACCTAGTCACAGCGTTTACGTCTGACCATAGCACTTGAGTTTTCCCAGGGTGTGGTAACCTTGTTCACGGCTATCATCAGTGTCGCCAAACCTCATCTGAGCCACGGGTAGAGTGGACTTGTCAGTCAGCAGACCGCTGTCAGAAAACCATTTACCTGAACTTCCAACATTGTTACAATTACATCCTTTTGAATTTTCGCAAGTGTTGGTCATACCACAGGCACATTTACCACTTCCTGGTGTCGCCCCGCCCCAGTACTCCTGACGTATACCATCACGTGACACCCACCAAGCGTAACTTTCTCCAATAAACTGGACGTCATTTTTGCATTCAAATTTGATAAACTGCTCACAGTGGGCGGATATTTGTGTCAGTTTCGCCAATTGTGCCATCGATACTCCATCGTAGAAAACATTAATTGCACAAGATCCTGCTCTATCTGGACAGTTGTCAACAAGAGTCCTGATCTCACTATCATGGCCGACAAAAGTCACCCCTACGCCTCCCTTGTCAGACATGTCACAATACACAGAGAATGGCTTCTGCTCTGATTGGCCATCAGGGTCAATGACGTAGTCACCAGATGGTGTTTTTTTCGATTTCTTTTTCATCTGACTGCAGGACTTGAAATGTCGATTGACCTCTACCTTTGTTGCTGATTTGATAGATCGATGGAAGTTTCTAGCAATGCAAACATAATTCCCAGCGTCTTTCATGGAAATTCCAGGAATAATGAGGCTGCCGTTAGAATGGATAGATCCCTTTAAGGATTGGTTGTCTTTCATCCATGTTATTTCTACGGCAGCAGGTGCTTGACAATCAAGAATCACATGATCACCTAAGATATGTTCACACTGAGTTGGTGGTCGTACAGTAAATACGAGGGCTGGTTGGGTTTTCAGCTGAACAAGAAGTGACTCACTTCCAAATATATTCTTCGCTTTGCAAGTGTAAATACCATCATCTGTTTTCATGATATTACTGATTCTCAAATGTCCAGTGGAAAGTACTGTGGACCGCCCACCAGGAAGTGTCCCGAACAGCTTGGTCCATGAAATAGTAGGGCGTGGAACACCCGAAACATCACATTTTAAGATGGCGGATCTCTTTTCTTCAGCAAAAGTTGTTTCCTGTTTGACGGAGAATCGTGGAGGCCCTGCAAACGAATCAGACAACACGTTAAATTCAAAGTACACATCGCTAATTGATTGCACATATTTACCCTGTACTATGAGATCAGCCGACGCCCTTGCCACACCCAAAACACTTTTAGCTGTACATGTGTACCTCCCTGCGTCATTTAACCTCAGTTTGTTGATTGACAGCAGACCATTGGAATCAATCACGTGACGTCTCAAAGCTAATTGAGAGGTATCCTTTGACCACGTGATTTTAGGTGTTGGATGGCCTTTCACAAGACATTTCATTATTGTAGTGTCACTCTCATTCAAAATAAGGTCCTTTGGGGGTACAGATATGGTAGGGGCTTGCAAGGTTAGCCCTCCGTCATCTCCTCTTGGTCCCCTAGGTCCATGTATGCCTGGGGGTCCAGGAAGTCCTCTTGGTCCACGTCTTCCCATCGGACCTGGTGGCCCGCGGAGTCCTTTAGTTCCTTGTCTTCCCATTGGTCCTTGTCGGCCCCGTCGTCCTCTGCTTCCTTTGGGTCCCTGAAGACAAGCTTTTGAGTTTTTGGCACAAACCTCTTTCTTTAAGATGGCATGAATTTCCTGTCGAATCTTTTGTCGTAAGCTGTCAATGGAAGTGGTGTTTTGGTGGCTATTTCGTCGATATCTTGGTAGACCATCTAAAGTACATGAAAGTACCATTATAACGATAATAATGGATGCGGCCTGACTTTCTGGTACTGTGCAAGCAGGGTCTCTCTTTACTTCTTCGACAAGAAGTGTCTTCTTTTCAAATTTGTTCGTCGGGAAGGTAAAGGATACTAGATAAATCACTAGATTCTGCACTTACCTTCTCTTGGACTATTGTCTTGGTACTTGTTGTTTGCTCTCGTTTTAGTTTCGATGTCGTCACGAGCTGTTTGGACACGTTTAGTACACATGTATTCATTGATGTACAGTTTGTACTCAACATGCAATAAACCAATCAAACATACTAAGGACACCAACAAATTTGTACCAGAAACATAAAAACTACGATCTGTTTTCATTGTGTTTACATTTAGGTTTGAAAACAGAAGATAAAGGTTACTTAGGCCCCTGTTCAGTACTTAGTGGCCGTTCAAAATCAGATAGCACTTCAGAACATACCGATCTATATAGCTAGATATTTGTAATGGATACTACGATCACGTGCCTTGATCAACCCTGTTAACCCTGTCATGGAATGCAGACACCAGGAAGTGACATTGGCTGTGTAAAAACAAGCTTAATCTATATTCCAATTTCAATTCACAAGGTCAATTCAGTGACTTAAACTGTGAATTACATAAGTTATTTGGTGTGCTACATTCTCTCCTTTTTCCATACATACTCTTTCTTCTCAAACAAAACACATATTATATTTTTGTGTCTTATTGCCTTCCCAATAGATAATGCGCAGGTCGGCTTTYAGTTAATACTTATAATGTGAATTGGGATACCTGTGTAACGCTCGTCTGAAGGAAGAGGCGGAAGCCACAAGGTATCAGAGCAGGAGAACTGCACTGTTTCCATGGTGATACAAATAACTAAGGTAATTATAGCTGCACTGACTTCTCGTTACTTAATATAATCGTCTCAATATGACTTGGATGCCGATTAAAACTGAGCTTTTTTTATAGTTCTGTTATAGAAGTCCACATAGAGTACCATGAGATTTTATCCTAGTCACCGATATAGACGATATACTTATTGATCGTGGTTTCAGGTGCTGTATTCATCTTTCATTATAGTTTGATAACTAATTCATGACTTCGTGTCAGTGAACAACATTTTAATTCTCTTCATGGACCTGTTGTTTTGTTATTTAGCGAAGACAAAACAATATTTTTTTCGATAATCACTTTATAATGATAATGTTTTCTAAGTCATTTTCAAGGTTATTTGTACGTGAATGTATAGGTATTTTACTTATTTTGGTTCTTCAAATTGAGATGAAAAAGTTCAAAACGCCAGGAGTAAAAACAAGACAAGCAATCCAATATAACGAGCCAGTGATAGGTAAGATTGGTGTTACTGCAGTCAATCAAGTTATCGACAACTGAAGCTGCTGTAGAATAGCGTCRGAGACAAATAGACTCAACAATGTCGAGGTAAACCCGTTTTTTGRACAAAAGTTTTGCATTTCCAAAATTAATACTAAAACCTGAACAAGTTTGAATTCATGTGGTTGGCCGATTAGAAAATTTTACTTAATCGAATTTCAATTAATCGAATCCTGAATCCATAAAAAATCTACAGATTAATGATCAAAACACAAGGCTCAGGTTTTTCTCATTACATGACAATGAAGTGTGTTGTTAGGGCGGTTCCCATAGATCTTTAGAAGGTAATATGCTATAGATTTACAGTACTTTACACTAAGAGTTTTACCAGTAACAATTTATTACACTAACAGGTATTTTGACACAAGAGGTCACTGGAAAACTGTCCAAAATGGCTCAAGGGCAATACGTATTATCATCCTATGTAAATATGATAGAAGCTGCTGGCGCACGCGTAGTACCCTTCCTGTATCCTTTGAAAAATACAATTATGATATTGATAAAAATCGCTCTTCACACAAATTGTAGTTATTGTTAGACCATATTTTGCGCATTGCTCTGATTCGTCTTTAACTACAAGCTATCTTAGAATGAAGGGCGCATAGGGCTCAAGTTTGTTGTGACTGAATTCAATTTTCCTTAATAAGTTGCACAAAACAGAATAAACCAAACCCCTGAACAAGTAGAAAGAATGTTCACTTACATCAATGGGTAAGAATATTACTAATGAAGATTAGTTTAGTATGAAAGTTTTATTACCACACAGTAACTGTTACGCATGCGTACTATGCAGTAAGTAGTCACCTCGCCTTCAAAACTTACTGCGGGCTTTGATGAGTTCAATTATTATTAATTTTGTTAATACTTTTGTCGACCTTTATTTCCTAGCATTGTTTTRCCTGGAGGTCATGTTAAATTACAGCATTCCAAGTACGGGACTGTGGGCAAACAGTTGTTTGAATTGGCAAAAAAGGTAGGGCGATTTTTACAACTTTATTACAAGACCAAAGTAGTCGGTCAAGAACGATGGATTTTTTKTCGCATTCCATGTCACTCGAAGTCTCTTTGCACTGTCTCCAGTTGTTGCATCTGTAATTTTGGAATTGTGTCATGCATTGATATCAAGCAATGTGTAGGTTGTACGTCTACAGAAGGTTGCAACCTTATTCGTTATATTCAACCAACAGGCAAACGACAAGGGTGATGTGTTCCCAATATGGTGTGAATGCCTAGGATTAGAACTAATAGCTTTACTAGCATCTGGAAGAGGTCTTTTCAAAGGACAATATGATACCAAGTTGTTTGATTATGTATATGCYAAGAATGTTACCATGCCTTTAACAATGGCTGGAGGTACGTCAAGTTTGCTCTAGTATCGTATATGGTGATGATGATACATAATAATTATTATCATCTTATACTTGATCAATATGTAATTTTRTATCATCAGTACTGACGGGGCGAACATCRAGACACCCCAATGTTGTAGTCTCAGTCCATCATTTTGCTTTCATCTCGTTCRTCTGTCAGTTTTCTGATTTGCTTTGTGTTTGTTTTTCGTATTCAAAGACTGGAAAAAAAGTAAATTATACGGGTCAGCTCCTGCCGATATGCTCAAGTTTATGACGACACAGCTCAAAGGATTTCACAACCATAATAAAGCCATCACTATGAAGGTATAAYCTTTTTTGTAACCATAGTCATTAGCACAGTCTTAAGCGTAAGAATCTAAAATGCTTTGATATGTCGTCATATTGTCTTTCAGATCTACAAAAAGTTCAAAAAACTTTCAGACATGTTTAGTGTAGTGTCAACTAATAAAGATAAAAAAGGAAAAGAATTTATATCAACTTTTGAAGGTATTCCAAAAAACTTAGTCTTTTTAACCAAATCAATGGTAGGTCATTGTAAGATAAATGACCCTCTTTCATCTTCACGCCATTTTCCAGGTAAAAAGTATCCATTCTACCTTTTACATTGGCATCCAAGTAAATCACAAAACTACGCGCCCTATGGCTMTGCAATGACTCCAGATCAAAAGGCGGTTTGGGCAGCACGTTTCTTGGTGGGAGTCTTTATTAATCAAGGTATGGGATCCCTGTGTTCATATTGGGATTCCTGCGATATCCATAGTAACATCTCACTTTTTTATGTTTTTTCAGCGCGCATGAGCAAACACAGGTTCCCGGATGAGATGACAAAAGCGAGATCACTAATCAATAACTTTCCTGTCATTAGAAATAATGAAGTTGATGGATATTTCACTCCCATGTAGAATTTTAACATATAGCCATATTATCTSTAATATTACAATTTTCAGTAGTTAATTAAAAGACTAAATATACAATAAATTTTATAGTTTTCGTTGATCTTCATCAGTATATTTAATTAATTTTGGCTAACTCATTGTTTGATTTGTCAATATAATAACCTCATGTACTAAGTGATCTTGTGGGCTTCAACACAGTGAACATTGCGAAAAAAACGGGTTTTTTTGGTTTTGATTATAGTTGTCTAGTTTCAAGTGTTTAGTAGTAATTGACTAGTCGTAATTGTTTCACAGACGGTTGAAAATGAGATTGTCTGCATTGTTCATGTTTTCATTGTGATAATACTACAATATACAAAGGAACTCTCCCAATGACCAAAYGATAATTTTTTTCGGAGGGAAATGTTGGTCGGTCGGTATGCATTGACGTAATCGCTAGAAAATCTTTTTGGAACGAGAAACATCAGGACGAACAAACGTTCTACTAATTAGCGGTAATTAACAGCATTGGGTCACTTGTTTTGTAAGAAATCACATTAAGTAATGTCTCAAAATTCTCTTTGGTGGCAAAATGCAGTCCTAATATCCTCCCTTTTCATAGAAATTTTGATAGAGTTATCAGTTGTAAAAGAATGCAGAGTCCTTACATTGTTTGATTGACATGTTTGATTGATATTTTGACAWGTTTGATTGAAATACTTATAGTGTGTTGTCGTTTTTTGAATTCTTGTGAAAAAGTGATTTTAAGAGCTTCTACAGGTATTTCTCACACCTATCCGCTCAGTGCACTTGTCAAGGAACCTAGGTATCGCTTAAGAGAATATAGCGTTTGATCACGTAGAAAAATAAAAAATATCCTTTATTCATCAACTACGGCTTTAGACAGAGTGGAGAGAASGATTATTAACTACAATAAAATGATACCCGGGTTATCGATTGAGGGTTGAGCATCAGTGAGTTTTGTGATCAAGTACCGTGACGCTCCGTGCATGCGGATACTTCAATTAAAAGAACAAACGGTCCACAAAGACGGGTATTAATGCATCAGTCAACTAGAAGACCTGCCCAATCCACGGGCAATCGTCCCAACCCACGGGCGATACCGGAGAAGTCATTTCCCCGCCATAGGTTTAGACGCTAATCCCATCCCTCCGTCTTCCTATTTATTATGCTGTTAAAACAGTGTTGAGTCTGTAGTATGGTGGCCGACGACTGCACGTGAAGAAAAAACCTCACTTTAATGTGTTTTTTTTTTTTAAATTTTCCATTTAAAGCATTAAATTGAAGATGTTTCTATGACATCCCAAGGTCACTATATTAAGCCCCCATATAATTTCCCCTATGTTAATTCCCCGGGGTTTGTGGGGCCACAGTTTCAATTGACTGATTCATATTATGATTAACAGTATGTGGTCTCTTGTTTTGCTGAAAATCACATTAGGTAATGTCGAAAAAAATATCTTTTTTTGGTAGAAATCAGTTTCCAGCTATTTTGCCTTAGTAGAGACTGCTTTGTCCTTAAAATTTGGTTTGTTTGAGCTAAAAAAAGATCAAGTTATCGTGACTAATGGTTAAACACCGATAACTGATGTGCATCCATTGATCCAAGGCTAAGCACGCAGCATCAAGAAAATCACCGGTTTACCTTTAATATTCCACAAGGATTGAAGGTACTAGCATCATGCATCTAGGCTGTATTAGTGTTCTAGTATTCCTTATTACTGTCAGTCAAGTTGAAATGATGACAACAAAGAAGCGAAATATAAAGACGAGGCAAGATATTCCTGAATCGAGCAAACCAGTCATTGGTAGGAAAATTAATTCATACTTTTTACACCGGACTCTATCGGGACGTCTGTTTAAAAGGCTTACAGCGCGTTCTCTTTATATAAAAAACCAAGTACATATCATTTTCAAGCTAAAATGACCAAAAGCGCTCTTTTTTTATCATTTTTGCGATAAAACTTACAGTTGTTTGAAGCGAACCGTGAGGGTCTGAAGTATCTGGAATGTTATAATGGTGTACGTGACTCCAAACTTTTTGTGAAAAAATATGATATTTAAAAAATAATAATAAAACAAGAGAACAATTTGAAGGAAGACTTATTATTAACTTATGGTTTTGAGGTGAAGTTTAAAGGTCTGAATACTGCTTTTATGTGTTCACATCAATGAAAACATTCCAAGCATATTTAACGCGCTAACGGYTTCAATCAAACGACTAAAATTGGGCGTTTCTAAGCGCGGAGAAGTTAGTTTGCAATATGTTTTATACTCRCGTTTTGGGCGTTGCGTAACTGGGTACGAGACTGGGAGCTTTGTACTTTGTAGGCATATGTACTGGTTTTATCGGGGATTTCGATGCTCATATGTGCCTTACTTATGAGTCCTTTATCTAACAGTAAAAACTGTTTTGTGGTAGGGGTTCTTGCGCAAGAGACGTCAGGAAAAATCAACAAATTTGCTCAAGGACAATATGTACTGTCAACATATGTGGATCTGTTACAATCTGTTGGAGCTCGTGTAGTACCAATCCTGTATCCTTGATATCACTGAGCCCGGCATGAGGACATTTCTCCTTACTGAACGCATTGAAACGATGGTTAAACGATGTTTTATATATTATGACTTTATTCAATGTGTAAATATCTCCCAAATAAAAATTGCAGGATTTTGTAAACTAATCCAGCATACGGATATCAAATTCTCCAGACCACGTTTTTTCCCAGTGTGCATGCATGTTGATTTAAAAAAATAACTTTGACTTCAACCTTGACTTGCTTAAGTGTRAACCAAACGGCCGAAGAAGTAGAGGATATATTTAATTCAGTGAACGGGTAGGAAACCAGTATAGAAAGAACTGAGCCTATTTATTTTTGTGCGCAAATCATCATTATCAATGTCTTCTTCGTTATAAGTTATATCATACAGCATGCAAGAAGTAACTGCTCATTAACTGGTTCACTATTTCAGGTTACTAATACCGGGTGGTCATGTTAAACTGCAATACTCTATGTACGGTAGAGTTGGTAAACAGCTTTTAGATCTCGCAATCAAGGTATTTATTACGATAGAAATACACTATTATTTTCAGGGAGTTGATATAACTCCAAAAGTGGAGTTAAAAAAAGGTACAGGATTCCTTTTTAGGAGTAACACCAAGTGGAGTTAACTTTACTCTCATTACGGAGTAGATTTAACTCCCTTTAAAGTTACTCCATTGGGTGGAGTAAATATAACTCCTTTGACAGAGTTATATCAAATCAGTCCCTGAAAATATCAGTGTACTAATAAAGTAACTAAACACTGTTCTATAATAACAAATATCAGTAAACATCCTTCCAACCTACACTGGAAAAAATCGCGCGCTTTAAAGGTTGTAAATTTGAWGTAAATATGATATAAKTGTCCAAAATTCTGTAAATTTGATGTAAATGATTTCCATTAAATTTACAGATTTTTGGACACTTACATCATATTTACATCAAACAAATTTACAACCTTCAAAGCGCGCGATTTTTTCCAGTATACTGTTTTCCATTAATCTCGTCGATCATTTTTCATCTTGATTTGTCATCTTTTTCAAGGCCAACGACAAGGGTGACGTGTTCCCAATATGGGCCGAGTGTCTTGGATTAGAACTTATAGCTTTATTAGTATCTGGAAGAGGCATTAGTGAAGGGCAATACGACTCCAAACTCTTTGATACGGTCGATGC